GGCCTTTCCCCGGGGGGGGTGCGTTTTGGGGGCCCCCTCAGCCCCTATCCTCATAGGGAATTCCGGGTTTACATGGGACATTTTTTCCCATCCTCCCTGTACTTTTTCCGATTTTTTTATATAAATTTCTGTAATCCCTTTTGACAAGAATGAGCACCCTTTATCAAATGAGGCAAAAACCCAAAGGATATATAAGTTAAAGGAAAAAACCCCTGGGATTCTATTATTTAAATTTCCCTAGATTTTAAAGCCAAAAATTTGTTTAGCTTATTGCGAACACTAAGGGCACTTTTTGTTTTGGTTTTTAGATTACTGCAAACCCGGGAAAAACCCCTAAACCCCTTTTCGAAAATCTTAAGTATTAAATCGACATTTTTAGTTTATATTTTTGGCCCCAGGGTTTTTATTAAAAACTGTCAACATTTAAATTTTTTTGCATTTTTAAATATTAAACTGCATCGCCACTTCTCTGCCCCTTGTAAGCTTTTAAAAATCATCCGGGAAGGGTTTCTATTTGTCCTCATTAAAATTTGAATTGGAGGGCCAAATTTTTGGTGTAATAAACAAATTTTTTATGTCCCTTTTTTATTCCCTCATCTTTGGTTTTAATGTAAATTGTGAACAACAAGGGGCCCAACACTGTCCCCGTAGGAAACCCCGCTTGTGACGTGCCCCCATTCTGATTTCCCCCCCTTTTTTAAAAGCAAAACTCTTTTGCTGTTTAAATTTGCCCACCCAAAAGCCTCCCCCGGGAAAAAAAATTTGTCCTCCAAACCCGGGTGGGGCCTTAAGTTTCCTCAAAAGCCTCTGGTGTGGAACTCTATCGAAAGCCTTACTGAAGTCCATATACGAAAAATTTCATTTTTTTTTTAAACCAAAGATTTTTACCCCCCTGAAACACCTTAGCGAAAAAATTTTGTAGATCCGTAAGACAGGAACCCCCCTTTTGGAAAAACCCGGGGTTGAATTCTTTAAATCAATCTGTGCCTGTAAAAGGGGCTACAAATTTGCTTCGGAAATTGAGTGTCCCACCCCCCACACCTAACACAGGAAGCTTGGTGTTACACTCCCCACGCTTAAAAAAAAAAAAACCCAAGAGGTTAAAGGATTGTCACACTCAACACATTTAACCAGGGGACCCTAAGAGGGGCCACATCAACACACTTAAAACCAGTGATTTTAAGAGGAAACTTAACACGGGGAGTTAGAAGTGCCACACTCAACAAACTTAACACAGGGAGTTAAGAGTCCACAATCCACCATTTTAACACGGGATTTTAAAGTCCCACACCCACACATTTAACACAGGGAGTTAAGGTGCCACTCAAAACATTTTAACACAGTGATTTAAAGAGTCCCAAAACTTAACCGGGGAGTTAAATCCCACCCCTCAACACACTTAACACGGGGTTTTAAAGAGGGGCCACACTCCACACATTAAACCAAAGGGAGTTAAGATTTGCCAAAATTCCACACATTTTAAACACAGGGATTTAAAGAGTGCCACACCCACACATTTAACACAGGGATTTAAAAGGTGCCACTCAAAAACATTAACAAATTTTGAGTTTAGAGTGCCTTTATTTAAAACACAGGGATTAAAGTGCCACACTCAACAACTTAACCAGGGAGTTAAGGGCCACACTGTATTATTATTATAATCAAAGGGGTAGCGCTAAACCCGTAGGATTACACATCGTCTGTTGGAGGCATGTGGAAGGTATTCTGGGCTAATTCAGGAAACTGGAGCACAGATCCAATTCCCAAGATCAAGAGCCCCTCACCAGCATCAAGGAACCTTCCTTGAGGGGAACATAATTAGTATTGTACAAGAAACCTGTTCTGGTAGTTAGGTAGTGTCTGAGTTCTTGATCCAGTGATTTAGATAATAATTGACACCTACAGTTATCTTATATGATAATTAGTAACGTACCAGTTAGGTTACATATGATAATTAGTAACGTACCAGTTAGGTTACATATGATAATTAGTAACGTACCAGTTAGGTTACATATGATAATTAGTAACGTACCAGTTAGGTTACATATGATAATTAGTAACGTACCAGTTAGGTTACATATGATAATTAGTAACGTACCAGTTAGGTTACATTATGATAATTAGTAAGTACCAGTTAGGTTACATATGATAATTAGTAACGTACCAGTTAGGTTACATATGATAATTAGTAACGTACCAGTTAGGTTACATATGATAATTAGTAACGTACCAGTTAGGTTACATATGTTTAAGGTTTATTTTTTATTAGTTTTGGTTTACAAAAAAGTGGGAGGAAGAGGGGCAGCTCTGGAAGGAAAGAAAAAGATTGTTTGTGTTCCTGCGCGTGCATGTGTACCCTCATGGCAACAAGATAAGATAGCGTTCGGATTTTTAACCCCGGAGGGTTAGCCACCCAGGATAACCCAAGAAAGTCAGTGCGTCATCGAGGACTAACTTATTTCCATTGTGGTCCTTAATCTTGTCCCCCAGGATGCGACCCACACCAGTCGACTAACACCCAGGTACCTACTTACTGCTAGGTGAACAGGACAACAGGTATAAAGAAACACGTCGAAATGTTTCTACCCCGCCGGGAATCGAACCCGGATAACTGCATGGTAACTGCCCCCCTACCCTACTATTCATGCCAGTAAACCAGCACTCCAGGATGCAGGGGCGTCGTAAGGGGGGCGGGCCGCCCCAGGTGACACCATTTAGGGGGTGACACCATAGAGCCTCTAAAGAAAGTGACACTAATGCCCAAAACAGTGCTGCGCCAATAAGCCTTCGTTTCTATATAGCCTATTATATATTAACAAAGTTCAGATAAGCCTATATAGGGAAAATCATTGATTTTGATTATGTGATAGATGATTTTGCATAATTGAAGGCAAGGAAATGTAAAATCAGATTCACTGAGATGTTACCTGTACTCGAGATCAAATGTTACCTGTACTCGAGATCAAATGTTACCTGTACTCTAGATCAAATGTTACCTGTACTCGAGATCAAATGTTACCTGTACTCGAGATCAATGTTACCTGTACTCGAGATCAAATGTTTACCTGTACTCGAGATCAAATGTTACCTGTACTCGAGATCAAATGTTACCTGTACTCGAGATCAAATGTTACCTGTACTCGAGATCAAATGTTACCTGTACTCGAGATCAAATCTCAACTAGTCCATTACTTTGTTTTTTTTTTTCTTTTTTATTTTGTTTCGGCATTGTTGAAGATGAATAAATGTCGGATCTGTTGCCTGTACTCAAAGTGGTATTTGAGTTTATGTTTCCTCATTAATAAAGTTGAGAAGTATTCTCCTATTCAGTTTATGGCCCTTAAACGTTCTCATTGTTAAACATTTGTCACTGGGGGTGACATCGAAGATGCTGCCCCGGGTGACACCAGAGATTCCGCCCCGGGTGACACCAGAGATTCCGCCCCGGGTGACACCAACTCTAGCGATGCCTCTGCAGGATGGCAACCTCGCATCCACCGAGCCACATCGGTGAATGCGGCCACCCCCCTTTGGCCGCCACCTCCCGGAACCAACAGACAGCGTCCTGGGTTACTCCAGTCACCAAGGACACAAGAGGTCGCCCACTGGGTCTCTGAAGGGCGGCTCGGTATATCTTCTGTTAACTCAGTTCCCACAGCAAACACCACCACTGAGAGCCTCAACGCAATGGGACGGACAACGATCACTTTTCCTTCAACTTCTGAGCTGTAACTTACAAGAGGAATATCCTCAAAGGCCGAATGGAAAAAGAAGAGAGGAGGGGAGGGGTTGGGGCATTTAGATTCGATCCGAGGAAAGAGAGCAGAGGCTTAATTCATCTTACTTCACCACGATAAGGGATCCCTTCCCCCTTGAAAGGTGTATTTTAATAATCTGACTTATTTCCGAGATAAGATTTTCTTCGGATTTTTAACCCCGGAGGGTTAGCCACCCAGGATAACCCATGAGTCAGTGCGTCATCGAGGACTGTCTAACTTATTTCTATTGGGGTTCTCAAATCTTGTCCCCCCAGGATGCGACCCACACCAGTCGACTAACACCCAGGTACCTATTTGCTGCTAGGTGAACATGACAACAGGTGTAAGGAAACACGTCGAAATGTTTCCACCCCGCCGGGAATCGAACCGGGCCTCCGTGTGTGAAGCGAGAGTTTTAGCCACCAGGTATATGGTATATTTTTTTGTGGTGTGCTCTCCAAGCTACAGAAGTTAAAGGAGCTTGTAAAACGAGATGAGTTTGCTTTTCCTAGTATTAAAAAGAATATTTGATTATTTCTCGACCTTGGTTAGCTTCTCCAGATTTTATCATAAAGGATAAAATAAGCTGTGAATCTGTGGAATATCAAATGCCTTATATCTTTCCTGCACTAACAAAAAAATAACTTATTTTTAATAAGAAAGAACCGTTTGTATCCTTAACTATTTCCTACCATCTTCTTGGCTGTTACTTTCTACACAGTGGGCTTGGACATACAGCAGGCATGTGTGAGCGTGTTAGACAGTAGTGGAGATAAATGGTTTTAGGGACCTAACGAGATATTGGAGTGTGAGCAGGGTAATATTTTGTTAAGGGATTCAGGGAAACCGGTTAGCCGGACTTGAGTCCTGGAGGTGGGAAGTAGAGTGCCTGCACTCTAAAGGACGGGTCTGAGATATTTGCTGTTTGGAGTAACATCTGAACTGTCATAAGAACATAAGAAAGGAGGTACTTTGCATAGGCCCGCCGGCCCATTCTAGGCAGGTCCTTCACAAATCCAACCCACTAATATCGTATCTGTGCGCCTCTGGCAAGGCAGTAATAGTGTGAATGATGGTGAAAGTGTTTTTTTTCGAAGCACCCTGCCTCGGTGGGAGGCTGCCGGCGTCTTAAAAAATATACAAACTATTTAAGATCAATAATGCCCTTAACATGTATGAAGCATATATTAATGAATAATATATAACAAACATAAACGAATATCAATATAATATAATACTTACTAAAGACATGTTTGTAATAAGTAGTATTTGAATAATCCCACGCTGTAATATTAGTGGAATCGAGCTCTCTGCCGGGGTCATCAGAAAGGCAGGTCAGCTGCAGTTGTTTACCTTCATAGTATGAGTTATGGACCATTATGACATCCGTAGCCAGGTCTGTTGATATATCTTAATTTAGTATAAAACAAGGTGTCCAGATGGTAGAGTGCCAACAGCGTGCACACCATATACATGTTCACAGATTAACATGTCACAGTGCCACACACTATACATAGATCCTCAGACATATATACGAGGTCCAGATGCTAGTGTCAACCATATACAAATACACACATGGTCATACAGATATATGAGTATAGTCCACTTGGTAGAGAACCGACACATAATACACACACACACACACACACACACACACACACACACACACACCACACACACACACACACAGGGGCCAGGAGCTTGGATTCGACCCCTGCAACCTCAACTAGGTGAGTACACACACACACACACACACACGACATGACGGAAGGAATAGACTCCGAAGTGTCCCTGTTTGCAGATGACGTGAAGTTGATGAGAATTCATTCGGTCGAAAACCAGGCAGAACTACAAAGGGATCTGGACAGGTTGCAGACCTGGTCCAGCAATTGGCTCCTGGAGTTCAACCCCACCAAGTGCAAAGTCATGAAGATTGGGGAAGGGCAAAGAAGACCGCAGACGGAGTACAGTCTAGGGGGCCAGATACTACAAACCTCACTCAAGGAAAAAGATCTTGGGGTGAGTATAACACCAGGCACATCTCCTGAGGCACACATCATCCAAATAACTGCTGGAGCATATGGGCGCCTAGCAAACCTAAGAACAGCATTCCGACATCTTAATAAGGAATCGTTCAGGACCCTGTACACCGTGTACGTTAGACCCATATTGGAGTATGCGGCACCAGTTTGGAACCCACACCTAGCCAAACACATAAACTAGAGAAAGTGCAAAGGTTTGCAACAAGACTAGTCCCAGAGCTTAGGGGTATGTACTATGAGGAGAGGTTAAGGGAAATCGACCTGACGACACTGGACGACAGGAGAGATAGGGGGACATGATAACGACATACAAAATACTGAGAGGAATTGACAAGGTGGACAAAGACAGGATGTTCCAGAGATGGGACACAGCAACAAGGGGACACAGTTTGAAGTTGAAGACACAGATGAATCACAGGGATGTTAGGAAGTATTTCTTCAGCCACAGAGTAGTCAGGAAGTGGAATAGTTTGGGAAGTGATGTAGTGGAGGCACGATCCATACATAGCTTCAAGCAGAGGTATGATAAAGCTCATGGTTCAGGGAGAGTGACCTAGTAGCGACCAGTGAAGAGGCGGGGTCAGGAGCTGGGAATCGACCCCTGCAATCACAACTAGGTGAGTACACACACGCAAACAGAGGAGCTGTGACTCGACCCCTGTAACTACCTATAAGTGAGTTTACTCACACACACTTATAAAGATATATATAGATAGACCTCCAGCAATTATGTACTTAATCACAATAATGTACACCACTCAAAGATTTTTTTATACAGAGTAATACCTGGAAGCCGTATATTTATGTAAGGTAGTAAGAGTAATACCTGGAAGCCGTATATTTATGTAAGGTAGTAAGTGTAATACCTGGAAGCCGTATATTTATGTAAGGTAGTAAGAGTAATACCTGGAAGCCGTATATTTATGTAAGGTAGTAAGAGTAATACCTGGAAGCCGTATATTTATGTAAGGTAGTAAGTGTAATACCTGGAAGCCGTATATTTATGTAAGGTAGTAAGTGTAATACCTGGAAGCCGTATATTTATGTAAGGTAGTAAGTGTAATACCTGGAAGCCGTATATTTATGTAAGGTAGTAAGTGTAATACCTGGAAGCCGTATATTTATGTAAGGTAGTAAGTGTAATACCTGGAAGCCGTATATTTATGTAAGGTAGTAAGTGTAATACCTGGAAGCCGTATATTTATGTAAGGTAGTAAGTGTAATACCTGGAAGCCGTATATTTATGTAAGGTAGTAAGTGTAATACCTGGAAGCCGTATATTTATGTAAGGTAGTAAGTGTAATACCTGGAAGCCGTATATTTATGTAAGGTAGTAAGTGTAATACCTGGAAGCCGTATATTTATGTAAGGTAGTAAGTGTAATACCTGGAAGCCGTATATTTATGTAAGGTAGTAAGTGTAATACCTGGAAGCCGTATATTTATGTAAGGTAGTAAGAGTAATACCTGGAAGCCGTATATTTATGTAAGGTAGTAAGTGTAATACCTGGAAGCCGTATATTTATGTAAGGTAGTAAGTGTAATACCTGGAAGCCGTATATTTATGTAAGGTAGTAAGTGTAATACCTGGAAGCCGTATATTTATGTAAGGTAGTAAGAGTAATACCTGGAAGCCGTATATATTTATGTAAGGTAGTAAGTGTAATACCTGGAAGCCGTATATTATGTAAGGTAGTAAGTGTAATACCTGGAAGCCGTATATTTATGTAAGGTAGTAAGTGTAATACCTGGAAGCCGTATATTTATGTAAGGTAGTAAGAGTAATACCTGGAAGCCGTATATTTATGTAAGGTAGTAAGTGTAATACCTGGAAGCCGTATATTTATGTAAGGTAGTAAGTGTAATACCTGGAAGCCGTATATTTATGTAAGGTAGTAAGTGTAATACCTGGAAGCCGTATATTTATGTAAGGTAGTAAGTGTAATACCTGGAAGCCGTATATTTATGTAAGGTAGTAAGTGTAATACCTGGAAGCCGTATATTTATGTAAGGTAGTAAGTGTAATACCTGGAAGCCGTATATTTATGTAAGGTAGTAAGTGTAATACCTGGAAGCCGTATATTTATGTAAGGTAGTAAGAGTAATACCTGGAAGCCGTATATTTATGTAAGGTAGTAAGTGTAATACCTGGAAGCCGTATATTTATGTAAGGTAGTAAGTGTAATACCTGGAAGCCGTATATTTATGTAAGGTAGTAAGAGTAATACCTGGAAGCCGTATATTTATGTAAGGTAGTAAGTGTAATACCTGGAAGCCGTATATTTATGTAAGGTAGTAAGTGTAATACCTGGAAGCCGTATATTTATGTAAGGTAGTAAGTGTAATACCTGGAAGCCGTATATTTATGAAGGTAGTAAGAGTAATACCTGGAAGCCGTATATTTATGTAAGGTAGTAAGTGTAATACCTGGAAGCCGTATATTTATGTAAGGTAGTAAGTGTAATACCTGGAAGCCGTATATTTATGTAAGGTAGTAAGTGTAATACCTGAAGCAGTATATTTATGTAAGGTAGTAAGTGTAATACCTGGAAGCCGTATATTTATGTAAGGTAGTAAGTGTAATACCTGGAAGCCGTATATTTATGTAAGGTAGTAAGAGTAATACCTGGAAGCCGTATATTTATGTAAGGTAGTAAGTGTAATACCTGGAAGCCGTATATTTATGTAAGGTAGTAAGAGTAATACCTGGAAGCCGTTATATTTATGTAAGGTAGTAAGTGTAATACTGGAAGCCGTATATTTATGTAAGGTAGTAAGTGTAATACCTGGAAGCCGTATATTTATGTAAGGTAGTAAGAGTAATACCTGGAAGCCGTATATTTATGTAAGGTAGTAAGTGTAATACCTGGAAACCGTATATTTATGTAAGGTAGTAAGAGTAATACCTGGAAGCCGTATATTTATGTAAGGTAGTAAGAGTAATACCTGGAAGCCGTATATTTATGTAAGGTAGTAAGAGTAATACCTGGAAGCCGTATATTTATGTAAGGTAGTAAGTGTAATACCTGGAAGCCGTATATTTTATGTAAGGTAGTAAGTGTAATACCTGGAAGCCGTATATTTATGTAAGGTAGTAAGAGTAATACCTGGAAGCCGTATATTTATGTAAGGTAGTAAGTGTAATACCTGGAAGCCGTATATTTATGTTAAGGTAGTAAGTGTAATACCTGGAAGCCGTATATTTATGTAAGGTAGTAAGTGTAATACCTGGAAGCCGTATATTTATGTAAGGTAGTAAGTGTAATACCTGGAAGCCGTATATTTATGTAAGGTAGTAAGTGTAATACCTGGAAGCCGTATATTTATGTAAGGTAGTAAGTGTAATACCTGGAAGCCGTATATTTATGTAAGGTAGTAATGTGTAATACCTGGAAGCCGTATATTTATGTAAGGTAGTAAGTGTAATACCTGGAAGCCGTATATTTATGTAAGGTAGTAAGTGTAATACCTGGAAGCCGTATATTTATGTAAGGTAGTAAGTGTAATACCTGGAAGCCGTATATTTTATGTAAGGTAGTAAGAGTAATACCTGGAAGCCGTATATTTATGTAAGGTAGTAAGTGTAATACCTGGAAGCCGTATATTTATGAAAGGTAGTAAGTGTAATACCTGGAAGCCGTATATTTATGTAAGGTAGTAAGTGTAATACCTGGAAGCCGTATATTTATGTAAGGTAGTAAGTGTAATACCTGGAAGCCGTATATTTATGTAAGGTAGTAAGTGTAATACCTGGAAGCCGTATATTTATGTAAGGTAGTAAGTGTAATACCTGGAAGCCGTATATTTATGTAAGGTAGTAAGTGTAATACCTGGAAGCCGTATATTTATGTAAGGTAGTAAGTGTAATACCTGGAAGCCGTATATTTATGTAAGGTAGTAAGAGTAATACCTGGAAGCCGTATATTTATGTAAGGTAGTAAGTGTAATACCTGAAGCCGTATATTTATGTAAGGTAGTAAGTGTAATACCTGGAAGCCGTATATTTATGTAAGGTAGTAAGTGTAATACCTGGAAGCCGTATATTTATGTAAGGTAGTAAGTGTAATACCTGGAAGCCGTATATTTATGTAAGGTAGTAAGTGTAATACCTGGAAGCCGTATATTTATGTAAGGTAGTAAGTGTAATACCTGGAAGCCGTATATTTATGTAAGGTAGTAAGAGTAATACCTGGAAGCCGTATATTTATGTAAGGTAGTAAGTGTAATACCTGGAAGCCGTATATTTATGTAAGGTAGTAAGTGTAATACCTGGAAGCCGTATATTTATGTAAGGTAGTAAGTGTAATACCTGGAAGCCGTATATTTATGTAAGGTAGTAAGTGTAATACCTGGAAGCCGTATATTTATGTAAGGTAGTAAGTGTAATACCTGGAAGCCGTATATTTATGTAAGGTAGTAAGTGTAATACCTGGAAGCCGTATATTTATGTAAGGTAGTAAGAGTAATACCTGGAAGCCGTATATTTATGTAAGGTAGTAAGTGTAATACCTGGAAGCCGTATATTTATGTAAGGTAGTAAGTGTAATACCTGGAAGCCGTATATTTATGTAAGGTAGTAAGTGTAATACCTGGAAGCCGTATATTTATGTAAGGTAGTAAGAGTAATACCTGGAAGCCGTATATTTATGTAAGGTAGTAAGAGTAAATCCTGGAAGCCGTATATTTATGTAAGGTAGTAAGTGTAATACCTGGAAGCCGTATATTTATGTAAGGTAGTAAGTGTAATACCTGGAAGCCGTATATTTATGTAAGGTAGTAAGTGTAATACCTGGAAGCCGTATATTTTATGTAAGGTAGTAAGTGTAATACCTGGAAGCCGTATATTTATGTAAGGTAGTAAGTGTAATACCTGGAAGCCGTATATTTATGTAAGGTAGTAAGTGTAATACCTGGAAGCCGTATATTTATGTAAGGTAGTAAGAGTAATACCTGGAAGCCGTATATTTATGTAAGGTAGTAAGTGTAATACCTGGAAGCCGTATATTTATGTAAGGTAGTAAGTGTAATACCTGGAAGCCGTATATTTATGTAAGGTAGTAAGAGTAATACCTGGAAGCCGTATATTTTATGTAAGGTAGTAAGTGTAATACCTGGAAGCCGTATATTTATGTAAGGTAGTAAGTGTAATACCTGGAAGCCGTATATTTATGTAAGGTAGTAAGAGTAATACCTGGAAGCTGTATATTTATGTAAGGTAGTAAGTGTAATACCTGGAAGCCGTATATTTATGTAAGGTAGTAAGAGTAATACCTGGAAGCCGTAATTTATGTAAGGTAGTAAGTGTAATACCTGGAAGCCGTATATTTATGTAAGGTAGTAAGAGTAATACCTGGAAGCCGTATATTTATGTAAGGTAGTAAGTGTAATACCTGGAAGCCGTTATATTTATGTAAGGTAGTAAGTGTAATACCTGGAAGCCGTATATTTATGTAAGGTAGTAAGTGTAATACCTGGAAGCCGTATATTTATGTAAGGTAGTAAGTGTAATACCTGGAAGCCCTATATTTATGTAAGGTAGTAAGTGTAATACCTGGAAGCCGTATACTTATGTAAGGTAGTAAGAGTAATACCTGGAAGCCGTATATTTATGTAAGGTAGTAAGTGTAATACCTGGAAGCCGTATATTTATGTAAGGTAGTAAGTGTAATACCTGGAAGCCGTATATTTATGTAAGGTAGTAAGTGTAATACCTGGAAGCCGTATATTTATGTAAGGTAGTAAGAGTAATACCTGGAAGCTGAATATTTATGTAAGGTAGTAAGTGTAATACCTGGAAGCCGTATATTTATGTAAGGTAGTAAGAGTAATACCTGGAAGCTGAATATTATGTAAGGTAGTAAGTGTAATACCTGGAAGCCGTATATTTATGTAAGGTAGTAAGAGTAATACCTGGAAGCCGTATATTTATGTAAGGTAGTAAGTGTAATACCTGGAAGCCGTATATTTATGTAAGGTAGTAAGTGTAATACCTGGAAGCCGTATATTTATGTAAGGTAGTAAGTGTAATACCTGGAAGCCGTATATTTATGTAAGGTAGTAAGTGTAATACCTGGAAGCCGTATATTTATGTAAGGTAGTAAGAGTAATACCTGGAAGCTGAATATTTATGTAAGTAGTAAGTGTAATACCTGGAAGCCGTATATTTATGTAAGGTAGTAAGAGTAATACCTGGAAGCTGAATATTTATGTAAGGTAGTAAGTGTAATACCTGGAAGCCGTATATTTATGTAAGGTAGTAAGAGTAATACCTGGAAGCCGTATATTTATGTAAGGTAGTAAGTGTAATACCTGGAAGCCGTATATTTATGTAAGGTAGTAAGTGTAATACCTGGAAGCCGTATATTTATGTAAGGTAGTAAGTGTAATACCTGGAAGCCGTATATTTATGTAAGGTAGTAAGTGTAATACCTGGAAGCCGTATATTTATGTAAGGTAGTAAGTGTAATACCTGGAAGCCGTATATTTATGTAAGGTAGTAAGTGTAATACCTGGAAGCCGTATATTTATGTAAGGTAGTAAGAGTAATACCTGGAAGCCGTATATTTATGTAAGGTAGTAAGAGTAATACCTGGAAGCCGTATATTTATGTAAGGTAGTAAGTGTAATACCTGGAAGCCGTATATTTTATGTAAGGTAGTAAGTGTAATACCTGGAAGCCGTATATTTATGTAAGGTAGTAAGAGTAATACCTGGAAGCCGTATATTTATGTAAGGTAGTAAGTGTAATACCTGGAAGCCGTATATTTATGTAAGGTAGTAAGAGTAATACCTGGAAGCCGTATATTTATGTAAGGTAGTAAGTGTAATACCTGGAAGCCGTATATTTATGTAAGGTAGTAAGTGTAATACCTGGAAGCCGTATATTTATGTAAGGTAGTAAGAGTAATACCTGGAAGCCGTATATTTATGTAAGGTAGTAAGAGTAATACCTGGAAGCCGTATATTTATGTAAGGTAGTAAGAGTAATACCTGGAAGCCGTATATTTATGAAGATGGTAAGAGTAATACCTGGAAGCCGTATATTTATGTAAGATGGTAAAAGTAATACATGTAACCCGTATATTTATGTAAGATGGTACGAGTGGTGAGTCTTACCTTCCTTGGAGATGACCGGGTTATTGTTGTGGAACTTGAAGGCAACTCCAGAGCTGACATTACTGTGAAAAAAAAAATCATTGTATGACATATGATGTACAGTAGGTCATTATTGTCTTTATTGTGAATTTATATTAATTACCTCAGTAACAAGTTAAATATTATTATTTTTTTTGCAGATAATTTTTAGATTTAGTCGAAGGACCTAAAAGTGGTGGCCATATTTTTTTTCCTCCAACTCTTCGTTTGTTTTTTGTTCATAACTCGAGAAAGCCTAATCTGATTGGCTTCAAATTTTCATCACTTGTGTACGATAACTAGAGCTAAATTCTTGGAACAAATGACATGTGCAGGCGCCCTAAGACCAAAGTTGTTGAACTCATTCACAGCATCCTGGAATGGCTCCAATAACTTCCGAAACCCTCAACGGCGTAGCTTCACAAGTTCTTAAAAAAAAAAAAAAAGGAGCTTCCTAATTCAACAACAGCAGAGACTGAAAGTCATGTGTGTATGTACAGATATAACTACTGTATGTATAAAATAATGTGAAATTTTTTATCCTCATTAAATCACGTTAAATACATTTTAGTTTCACAAACCACGGAACGGGTGAGGTTTGAACCAATGGCGAATGAATCGTAAAACTCAAGGCCAGTGCGTAAGCCATAGGTTCAAACTCCACCCGTTCTGTGGTGTGTTATTACGATCTCGTGGAACATTTCAGTTTACTTTTTCTGAACAGCTTCAATATTTAATATCTGATGCATCTTTGATCCAAGACAGTACCTATTAAGCTTCATTTGTGTGCGGACAAATTTGTTGATATAGTAAAATAGTTACAAAAACTTTGTTGGAAACGTCATAACTGGAGGATTCATCTGATCGGCTTCAAATTTTTCACCACTGGCAAGTAAGTTTATTCAGGTATACACAAGTACAGTTACAACATACAGTGGCATGGTTTACTGAACGTTAGGTTGAATATGTGGTGACACTGGTTTATAGTCAATAACTAGAGAAACCTTCTAATTGCCTTGAAAATATTAATGATGATGGGAGTGGAAATAAGTCACGAGCCCGAGAAGGTTCAACTGCCTCCCAGCATACATAAGGGGGATTACCAATAGACCCCTGGCAGTCTTCAAGCTGGCACTGGACAAGCACCTAAAGTCGGTACTTGACCAGCCGGGATGTGGCTCGTACATTGGTTTGCGTGCAGTCAGCAGTAACAGCCTGGTTGATCAGGCTCTGATCCACCAGGAGGCCTGGTCACAGACCGGGCCGCGGGGGCGTTGACCCCCGGAACTCTCTCCAGGTAAACTCTGACTTTTTTGAGTTATCCCAGGTTCTCTACACATATGTTACTATGTATGATAATATATGTAACTGTATTTGTGTATACCTGAATAAACTTACTTCAGAAGAATGATGATATCTCATAAGTTTAGGTTAAGTTGGGGCAAATTTGAAGTTTTGCTGAAATTGTTAAAATTATGGAATTGTTGGAATCAGATCAGTTGCTGGAATTGCTTTTTCAAATTTTCAGCGTCGATGGGCATTATTAAAAGAAAGTTTACCTCTGTCTTGAGCTGTGATAACTAGAGAATGCCTCTTCTGATCGCCTTCAAACTCTAAACATAAGTGAATCTTAACTGCAGGTATTTTTCAATTCATTATGGGTTGTGTGGGTGTTTATATGTACATTTTCTAAAGCAACTTAATCAAACCCATCCCATTGGGTATGACCTACTTCCACTGGGGAATCCCGCCTACAAGTAACTATGGCTATTGCCCTCGTCTGCTACCCGTCCCTTTCCACCTGAGTTAGTATATAACCGCCGCCTTCTCGCCTGTGCTCCAGAATCTTCACGACTACGGTGCCTTTCACACCAACTCCAAGGCTGAGGGACTGATTACCTTATCTTTTGTATATAGTTCTACTGTCTTCAGATTATGTCCTTGAATTTTTATTGATAAAGCACTGGCTGGCGAAACGTCTACAATAAAGATACCCAAATGTTGCACATGTGTCTTAATTTTCATCTTGTCGGTATTGTATACAATTCTTGTACAACCACGTCACAGAGTCACTGATATACTCGGAACTAATAAACACCCCAAATGATGTTGCTGATGTTTCGGCAGTAAAGATCGAAAACCAAAACCTGGTCATTATGGTTGTATACAAGCCTCCGGATGCAATTTCCCAACAATTCCAGGAACAGCTTTTGAAAATTGACAACTGTCTAGAAAATTTTCCAGCTCCTGCCCATACATCTTGTTCCTGAGGGACTTCAACCTAAGATACCTAAAATGGAGGAATGTAGCAAATAATGCTATAACAGAAATAACCCTAGTAGGCAGCTCAGATGAAAATTCGCACACACACGAGCTATTAAATCTCTGCATCAAATTCACCTTAAACCAACAGATAACAGAGCCAACAAGATTGGAGAATACACTGGGCCTCATCTTCACTAACAATGATGATCTGATACGAAATATTACCATTTCAAAAACAATATACTCAGATCACAACATAACAGAGGAACAGACATGTATGCACAGGGCCCCAGACCAACAGAATGTGATCAGTCACGAGGGAGCCCTCACCAAAATCAACTTCAGTAACAAAAATATATGGTGGGACCAAGTCAACCAGGTCCTAAATGAAATAAGCTGAGAAAACATCCTAAGCAACATGGATCCAAACCTATGTCTAGAAAAGTTAACTCAGTGGCACTCGAGGTATGCTCAAGGCACATTCCTTAAAGGAAAAGGAAGAGAAGATGTAAACTAAAAAGAGAGAGGCGCTCCCTATACAGGTGAAGGCGAAGAATCACAGAACGGCTAAAAGAGGCCAATGTATCTGTAATACGAAGGGAGGCACTGGTCAGAGAAATAGCAAATATCGAACTTAAGCTAAAGGAATCTTACAGGAGAAAAGAAATGCGGGAAGAACTAAAAGTCATAAATGAAACTGAAAGAAACCCAAAATAATTTCTTTCCTTATGCCAAATCCAAGTCGAGAACAACATCCAGTACTGGGCCTCTACTTAGACGAGATGGGTCTTACACAGATGACAGCAAGGAAATGAGTGAGTTCCTCAAGTCCCAGTATAACTCAGTGTTGAGCGAGCCGCTGACCACACTAAGAGTCGAAGACCTAAATGAATTTTTTTATGACCGAGACTTAAAATTTGGGTAATTCAAGCTTATCTGATAACCTAAATCAATGACTTCGAAAGGCAAATAAATGCATGCCCACACACTCTGCCCCCCAGCCCAGATCGGGGAAATCCGTGTTCATCAAAAACTGAAAAAGCCCGTTCAGTGTTTTTAGCATTCATGGAGAGGGAGCTGGACACGGGGGTCTCCCCAGGCAAACAAAACGCACCCCTGGACCACTATGAAAGGCCCGGGATCCCCTAGAAGACAAAAAAAACGAAACAAAGAAAAGTAGTTATAATCAGGGGGGGGAGCGCTAAAACCCGTAGGATTTTACAGCGCATGTGGGGGGGGATAGAAGGTATTCAGGCTCAATTCAGGGAACGGGAGCACAAATCCAATTCCCTAAAGACGAAGTAAAGAATGACTTTGCGAAAGCCTTCGACAAGTGTGACCATGGTGTAATAGCGCACAAAATGTGTGATAAAGGAATAACAGATAAGTTGGTAGATAGATCTATAATTTCCTAACAAACAGAATACAAAGAGTAGTAGTAAACAGAGTAAAGTCTGAGGAGGCTACTTTGAAAAGCTCTGTTCCACAAGGCACAGTACTCGCCCCCATCCTGTTCCTCAACCTCATATCTGACATAGGCAGGGATGTAAGCCACAGTGCCGTATCTTCCTATGCAGATAACACTCGAATTTTCATGACAGTGTCCTCCATTGAAGACACTGCAAGACTCCAGGCGGACATCAACCAAATCTTTAAATGGGCCGCATAAAACAATATGAAGTTCAATGAAGAGAAATTTCAATTACACCGATATGGACAACGTAAGGAAATTAAAACTATATCGGAGTATAAAACAAATTCAAACCACACAACAGAGCGAAAAACTAATGTGAAGGACCTGGGGGTGATCATATCATAGGATCTCACTTTCAAAGACCACAACACTGTATTTACCACATCTGCTAGAAAAATGACAGGATGGATAATGAAATCCTTCAAAACTAGCAATGCCAAGCCCTTGATGACACTCTTCTGGTTGCTTGTTCTATCTAGGCTGGAATATTGCTGAGCACTAACAGCGCCTTTCATGGCAGGTGGAATTGCTGACCTAGAAAATGTACAGAGAACCTTCACGCCACACATAAGTACGATAAAACACCTAAATTACAGGGAACGGTTGAAGATACTTGTATTCCCTTGAACGCAGGCGGGAAAGATACATGATTATATACGCTTGGAAAATCCTAGCGAGATTAGTACCAAATTTGCACACGAAAATCACTCCCTACGAAAGCAAAAAACTTGGCAGGCGATGCAACATCACCCCAATGAAAAGCAGGGGTGCCACTAACACGATAAGAGATAACATAATAAGTGTCAGGGGCCCAAGACTGTTCAACTGCCTCCCAGTATACATAAGGGAGATTACCAACAGACCCCTGGCTGTCTTCAAGTAGGCACTGGACAGGCACCTAAAGTCATTACCTGATCAGCCGGGCTGTGGTTCGCACGTCGGTTTACGTGTGGCCAACAGTAACAACCTGGTCGATCAAGCCCTGATCCACCATGAGGCCCGGTCACAGACCGGGCCGAGGAAGCAGAGCCCAAAAACCCTCTCCAGGTACACAGTGAGTGTCCTTTGTGTAGTCGACAGGGTGTAAACTCTATCAACCAACCTTTATGGATGGGTATACCAGCCCTGGGGGATGTATGGTGACAATACTGTCAATGAGTTACAAGAAGAAACTGTTGATAAACATAATCACAGAATCATTTAATCATTTAAAATATTAAATATTTAATTTTACTTTTGTTTGATATAGCTAACTGTTGCTACTTATCCTAATGTTATTGCATCTTTTTGCGAATTCTTCGTCCTTCTCTGTTCTTTATCACATTTACATGCTTACTCATATTTGTATCTATTCCCAGTTATTTTGTTTTCGAGTATATACACCGAAAGATGTACTCGATGGATACGTATGTATTTTCGAAGCAAAAAATCACATGTCATACCTGGAGTTAACCCTCTCCAGGTAAACTCCAGGTATGACATGCGACATTTAGCTTCGAAAATACATACGTATCCATCGAGTACATCTTTCGGTGTATATACTCGAAAATACATACGTATCCATCGAGTTTATATACCGAAAGATGTACATCTTTCGGTATATATAAGCTGAGAGGTTACTTTTATCCCTTTTTAAGGAGCAGAGTTCTCTTGACTGGTGATCATACGGGTTACATACATGATTGTTATAATCAAGGGGGAAGCGCTAAACCCGGAGGATTATACAGCGCCTGGGGGGGGGGATGTGGAAGGTATTCAGGCTTAATTCGGGGAACTAGAGCACAGATCCAATTCCCTAAATCAAGAGCCCCTCACCAACATCAAGGAACCTTTCTTGAGGGGGCGGGTTGCATACAGCCTTAATATATATGTAGTTCATAGGTTTTAACTCCATTAACCAGTCAACCAAGATTAAGATTCTTTATTTCTAATTCACTGCATTAAAATCAGCTGTTTCAGTCTATGGAGATGTTTAGCAACTCAGATACGATATAAATGGCTGTAACTCATGTAAATGTCAACAAAGTATATATACCTCCTTGATTTTGACACAATACGATTGCGTATTGTACCCCGAAAGACACTTGAAGTTTCATGTCTCTTGAAGTTGACAGTTCCACCTGTCCTGTTGACAGCTCCGGCGTGTAGGGCAGCCATGCAGATGTCACAGTCCTAGAAAAATTAATATAATTTATAATACATCTCGTACATATTTCAAAATATCTAAATATTCTTCAACAAGAAGCTTGTATATACATTTACTGCTAGTCATAAGATAAGATTTCGTTCGGATTTTTAATCCCGGAGGGTTAGCCACCCAGGATAACCCAAGAAAGTCAGTGCGTCATCGAGGACTGTCTAACTTATTTCCATTGGGGTCCTCAATCTTGTCCCCCCAGGATGCAACCCACACCAGAGGACTAACACCCAGGTACCTATTTGCTGCTAGGTGAACAGGACAATAGTGTAAGGACACGTGTCGAAATGTTTCCACCCGCCGGGAATCGAACCCGGGCCCTCCGTGTGTGAAGCGGGAGCTTTAGCCACCAGGCCACTGGGCCATTATGTTTCTGACACTTACACTTACGTAAAACTATGGGCTTTTCCGACTAAGTAAGCTTTGAAAAAAGTTTTCTTGGAAACTATATTATAATTATTATTATTATTAATAATATTATTATTACTACTACTAGAAGGAACTGGACAGGCACCTAAAATCAGTACCTGACAAGCCGGGCTGTGGTTCGTACTTCGGTTTGCTTGCGGCCAACAGTAACAGCCTGGTTGATCAGGCTCTGATCCACCACGAGGCCTGGTCACAGATCGAGCCGCGGGGGCGTTGATCCCCGAAACTCTCTCCAGGTATACTACTAAGGGAATGGGATCCAAGTGCTTAAACTTACCTACCTTCATGGAAGGGCAGACCCAGTTCCTTGAATCAAGAGCCCTTCACCAGCATCAAGAACCCTACAATTTACTTTCATAATGGCTCTGAAGGCACAGATGTAAGTCGTACAATGTGGGATGTCTGAATGTGCGTGGATGTTGTGCGAATGATAAGGAAGAGATGATTGTGGATGTTATGAATGAAAAGAAACTGGATGTCCTGGCTTTAAGTGAAACAAAGCTGAAGGGGGTGGGAGAGTTTCAGTGGAGAGGAATAAATGGGATTAGGTCAGGGGTTTCAAACAGAGTTAGAGCTAAAGAAGGAGTAGCAATAATGTTGAAGGATAAGCTATGGCAGGAAAAGAGGTAATATAAATGTATTAATTCAAGGATTATGTGGAGTAAAATAAAGGTTGGATGTGAAAAGTGGGTTATAGTAAGCATATATGCACCTGGAGAAGAGAGAAGTGTAGAGGAGAGAGATTTTGGGAAATGTTGAGTGAATGCGTGGGGAGTTTTGGACCAAGTGTGAGAGTACTTGAGGTTGGGGATTTCAATGCTAAATTGGGTAAAAATGTTGTGGAGGGAGTAGTAGGTAAATTTGGGGTGCCAGGGGTAAATGAAAATGGGGAGCCTTTAATTGAGCTATGTGTAGAAAGAGGTTTGGTAATAAGTAATACATATTTTATGAAAAAGAGGATAAATAAATATACAAGGTATGATATAACACATAATGAAAGTAGTTTGTTAGATTATGTATTGGTGGATAAAAGGTTGCTGGGTAGGCTCCAGGATGTACACGTTTATAGAGGGGCAACTGATATATCGGATCATTATTTAGTTGTAGCTACAGTTAGAGTAAGAGGTAGGTGGGAAAAGAGGAAAATGGCAAACAACAAGTAAGAGGGAGGTGAAAGTGTATGAACTAAGGGAGGAGGAAGTTCAGGTGAGATATAAGCAACTATTGGCAGAAAGGTGGCTGGTGCAAGTATGAGTAGTGGGGGGGGGGGGGGTTGAAGAGGGTTGGAATAGTTTTAAAGATGCAGTATTAGAATGCGAAGCAGAAGTTTGTGGTTGTAGGAGGGTGGGTGCAGGAGGAAAGAGGAGTGTTTGGGGGAATGATAAGTAAGGGTGTGATAAAAGAGAAAAAAGGTATTTATGAGAGGTTTTTACAAAGCAAAGGTTTTAAGAAGAGAGAGTATATGGAGAGTAAAAAAAAAGGTGAAGAGAGTGGTGAAAAGTGAAAAAGGGAGAGAGATGATAGAGTGGGAGAGGCACTGCAAAAAATTTTAAATGAAAATAAGGAAAAATTTTGGAGTTAAAAAAGTTGGGGAAAACCTAGGGAAAAAATGAATTTGCATTTAAAAACAGAGTAGGATAGTTATAGAGGGGAAGGATGAAGGTATTGGGTGTGGCGAGAATTTTTTTGAGGAATTTTAAAATTTCGACGAAGAAAGGGGAGGTGGTAATTTCATGCAGGGCCCAGGGAGGTATACCTCTTTTGGAGTAAAGAAGAGCAGGTTTTGAAGTTGGGGGAGGTGCGAAAGGCTTTTCGTAGAATAAAGGGGGGGAAAGCAGCGGGAAGAGGGGTCATGACGAAAGTTAAAAGCGGGGGGGATATAGTTTGGAGGGGTTGGTATTCTTGTTTAAAAATGTATGAAAGGGGGAAAGGGTACCTGGGGTTTGGGGCGGAGAGGTTTAGTCCCTTTATATAAAGGGAAGGGGGACAAAAGAGACTGAAAAATTATAGAGGAATTGTTTACTGAGTATATCGGGAAAAAAATGTACGGTAGGATTATTATTAAAAAGAATTGAGGTAAGACAAATGTAAATTGGGGTGGGGAAGGACTTTTTAAAGGGGTAAGGATGTGTAGATCAGGTTTACATTAAGCATATATGTGAACAGTATTTTTATAAAAGGGAGGAAGTTTTTTTTTGCTTTATGGATTTAGAAAGGCATAGGATAGAGTGGATGGGGAAACAATGTGGCAGATGTTCAAGTATATGGAAAAGGTGGTAAGTTACTAATGCTGTAAAGAGTTTTTTTAAGGAAAGGGGGCTCAGGTTAGGTTGTGTAGAAAAGAGGGGGATACTTCCCAGTAAAAGTAGGTTTTTAGACAGGGGTGTTTAATTCACCCATGGTTGTTTAATATATTTATAGATGGGGGTTTTAAAAAAGTAAAAGCAGGGTGTTCAGGAGAGGGGTGGGATTAAATTAGGGAATCAAAAACAAAATGGGAAGTGACACAGTTTCTTTTTGTGATGATACTGTGCTTATGGGGGGATTCAAAAAAAAATTGCAGGGTAGTGGACGAATTTGGGGGTGGGTAAAAGGGAGAAAAATTGAAAGTGAACATAGAAAAGAGTAAGGGGATGAGGGTATCAATGATTTAGATAAAGAAAAATGGATATCAAATTGGGAAGGAGGAGTATGGAAAAAAGTGAATGTTTTCGATATTTTTGGGGTTGACGTATCAGCGGATGGATTTATGAAGGATGGGTTTTAAACATAGAATTGATGAAGGAAAAAAGGTGGTGGTGCGTTTTAGGTATATTGGAGACAAAGAATGTTATCTATGGAGGCAAAGAGGGGGTGAATGAAAGTATAGTGTACCAACCTCTTAATTTTGGGTGTGAAGCTTTGGGGGGTAAAAAGCAGCAGCAGGGGACGGTTGGAGGCAGTGGAGATGTCCGTTAAGGGCAATGTGTGGGGTAAATATTATGCAGAAAATTCGGGTGTGGAAAATTAGGAGAAGGTGTGGAGTTAAAAAAAAGTATTTGTCAGAGGGTGAAGAAGGTTTTTTGAGGTGGTTTGGTCTTTAGAGAGAATAGATCAAATAGAATGACATGGAGAGCGTATAAATTGTAGGGGAGGGAAAGGGGGGTAGGGGGGCGTCCTCGATAGGGTTGGAGGGGGGGGTAAAGGAGGTTTGGGGGCGAGGGGGTTGGGGCTTTCCCGCAAAGCGGGGTGAGCGAGTTAGACAGGAGTGAAAGGAGACGAATGGTATTTGGGGACGGCCCCCACTTATTTTGAAAAAAAAATACTTTGTACCTGTTAGTCTATCAAAACTTTGGGGGCCAGGCCCTGGACCCATTACGTCCTCTGTAATCTTAAATACCTTTGAACTTGTCATGATTGTGACCAGGACTTACTGATGTTAATTACTTTGTAAATTGTGAGTTCAATAACTTTGTAAATTGTGGAGTTCTTTTCCTTTGATAAATTGTAGTTTCATTCTCTGTAACTTGCTTCAGCTATCTAAAATTTGGAGTCAGTCCTGGACAATTATTGTACTCGTAATCTATTGACCTACCGCCCACAGGATGGGTATGGGGTGCATACTAAACATATTAACTAAAATGGGTCACGCAGGACTGAATACGCCCTAGTTTTTTTTTAGTTAATACATAAACAGATACAGTCTAGAATTTAAAAGGTATCAATAGCTATGCAGAAAAGTTTTCATTTCCGTAAGCTTCGTTTATCGCTGCCTGCATATAAAGGTGTTATTTCTGGATTACGAAATGGGTTCTAATCTTTAGAAATATTTTATTGTGCATAAAAATCACAATAAAACGTTAAGTATTTATCAAAACAACGATATCATTCTATTTTAGTATTGTTTTCAGGGTAAAGTGTTAACCTGTGGGATCATACTACGGTGAGGAATTGGAGGTAATCTGGTTTGGTGAGGAAAAGAGAATAGCTCAATTCTCTCTGAGGATCAAGAACCTTCACTACCATCAAGGCACTCTTAAAGGTACAATATATCGTTAGTCTAGTGATTTGCATTTTCATAAGCATTTTTTTCTTAAGTATCATAATTTACAATAATTTGCTAGATTAATGTATTTCTCGGTCCATACAATATATGGGAGTTTATTCGGTATATTTTAAAAATTACAGGTAAATAAAACTTGAGTGATATTCGTGATAGGTAGGCTTTAAACTTATTGTTAATACTTGACGGGAGTTGCTTAACCCGTAGGGATTCTATAGTGCTTTGCGGGAATAGGAAACAATAGGTTTTATGTTAAGAATTAGAGGGTGGCTTTAATTCATTGGATTACGAGCTCATCATAGCATCAAGTGTAGATTTTCTGATGTAATTTAAAATTCTAGACTATGTTGTGTGTGTTGAAGATCCTGAATTTAGCAGTGTTTAATTTGAACTTGTTGAAGACACTTCTGACAAAACTCATGGGTGTGCCCTAGCCACATTTTATCAAAATTATAGAAATAATGGATGTGCTGTTCTCCTATATATGTCGCGAGGTCGAGTCACAGCTCCCTCCTGAGTGTCACACGGCCAACTGTTAGCGGAAGGATTTTGCTGACCTTAGAATGTTGTAAAGTTGTGTAAGGTTGGTAGCCAGATAATAGTGACGATGTGTGATTGTATTGGTGAAGGATAATGGTGATTAGTGGTGACGGTTGGTGGATATTGTTCAACTCAACAAGCCACACATGTACCATCACTACATAAACTTGTCTGACGGAAACCGCCAAGAATACATCTTTATCGTTACATTATATTTTTTTTCTTTTGCGTTATACATAAAATTCATTCGTAATTCATTAATAAGAATAAGTACTCTTTATTATTTTTCCCCCAAGATTTGTAAAATATGACTTAATCGAGAGCAGATCATTTAATTGTGAAATTCTCAATGACGAGAACTCTATTCAGAAAAGGTTGAGCGGTTTCTCTATTGCTAAAGCTTGAAGGTGATATTTTATTGTCATTTGTAACTTCTGATCTTGAAGAAAAATTGTCACAAAATCTTCGAATTTGCACATCAACGAAGGTTTATTTATTGCACTAAGTGTCAGAGGGGGTCTGATTGTAAATTTAGAGTTATACGAAAATTTATAAATGATGAGTTGGGTTACCAAACGGGATTAACACCCGGAGAAGGGGGGGGGGGAGTTATCCAGGATAACCAAGAAGCCAAAACGGTTGTGATTTTTCCTTTAGAGTGATGTGTCTTCCCAGGATGAGTATAACAAAGGTGCCGGAGACTACCATAGATCTCCCCTCGCTCAGGATTAAACCGGGGTCCTTTTACTTTGTGACGAACACACCCGAGTGAAAGC